CAAAATTAAGCTAAATACTTTCTTAATTCAAGAGGAAAGAACTAGGGCACAGTTACCATCTGAAAAAAGCAAAACCAAACTCCAGCAGCGTAAGTAACTCAATGTTCACTATCTGGGGTTCACTCAATCTTCTGGGCTCCTTCATGGGGCTTGGGTCACTTCTCTGGAAGTGTGTTCTCCTGCAACACATACCATTTTTCTTCTAGGCTCCAACTGGTACCACTCCACTGCTGCTGTTCTGGGTGGTTGTCCCATAGTTTTGACAGCTCCAAAATGCTGGTGTCTTCTGATGCAACTTGGCTGCACTCTCACCAATAGCCTCTCCTGGGCTCTCTTCATGGTGTCAAGCCTCAACTTCTCTCCATGACCCCTTCCATCCTGAGCCTTCAACTGCCACTGAGGTTGTGCCTTCACCAGTGGCGTCTCCTGGCCTCTCACAGTGCCAAGTTTAGGATGTTCTCCATGACCCCTTCACACCTTCAAAACCAGTTCCACCTGGAAGACTCTTACAATACCAATCTTGGCTGCTTCTAGAACTCAGCCTCTGTGTGCTCTCAGGAAACACGTTTCAGATGACTTCACATTAGTGAAGTTGGTCTCTTAATTACTGCTAATTTCTCAGCTTCAACTAACTATCAACCATCCCAGTAACTCAAAGGTTCCACTTTAATGGTGCTGGTCTCTTGCTAATCAAAGTTGACTCTTCAGCTCCAGCTGACCAGACACCACAGGTTCTTCACAACAATGGCCCAAAAGAGTCTTTGGTTCCCCATGAAACTTCACAAGGTTAGCCTCCATCATCTGTACTGCTCTCAACCTTCTTATCTTTCAAGATGCTATAGAACAGCTTGCTAAGCACTAAAGCTGTAGTGTGCTTGGCTTGCACAGAGTTCCAAAGTACTTCCACAATCCTCCCCAAAACAGCATTATCATGTCTGTCACAAAAATACCCTGCAATACTGCTACCAACTTGTCTTAGGGTTTCTATTGCTGTGATGAAGCATCATGACCAAAAAGCAAGTTGGGAGTATGGTAAGACTGATATTGACTCGGGATACCTTTAAAGTTGACCTAATGCCTTCCTGCATTATGATATGGTTACAAGCCTGTGTAAGCCAGGAGTGGAATGTGGTGGTTTGAAAGAAACCAGCCCCCATAGTCTCAGTGAGTGGCACTATTAGGAGGTATGGTCTTGTTGAAGTGTGTATGGCTTTGTTGGAGGAAGTGTGCCATTAAGGGGCACGCTTTGTGATCTCAAAGGCTCAAGCCCTATCTAGTGTGACATCCACTTCCTGCTGCCTGCCAATCCTGATGTAGAACTTTCAGCTGTTTTTTGTGACACTGTGTCTGCCACCCTACACTCATGCTTCCAGCCATAATGATTGGTTTGAACCTCTGAAACTGTAAGCCAGACACAATCAATTTTTTTCCTTTATAAGAATTGCCTTGATTATGATGTTTTTTTCAAAGCAATAGAAACTTAACTAAGACAGAAATAAACAGGTTTATTTGGCTTACACTTCCATATTGCTGTTCATCATGGAAGGAACTCAAACAGGGCAGGAACCTGGAGGCAGGAGCTGATGCAGAGGCCATGTAGAGGTTCTGCTTACTGTATTGGTTCAGATAGCTTGCTCAACCTGCTTTCTCATAGACCCCCCCAGGACCACCAGCCCAGGTATGGCACCACCTACAATAGGCTGCCTGCCCCCTCAATTTCTACTTAAGAAAATGCTCTACAAGTCATCTCTCAGGTGACTTTATATTGTGTCAAGCTGACATAAAACTAACCATGACAGTTATGTATCAACTCTTCATTTGCAATTCTTAAAATACTGAACCTCCCAGTTTCCTTTCTTGTTTCTTCCATCTCAGGTCCTTAGGATCTTGTCACCACTGGCTTTCAAAGGCTTTTCTTTAGTCTAAGCACAAGCACTGGCTCTCAGTGATGCATTAATCTAATTAATCTTACCAACAAATATCAGGAGTCAGATATTGGGGTAAAAACCGGGAAGATCAAAGAAGCTTGGGAACAGACACAGTCACTTCTTACCTCTTAGTTCCTCCATCCAAAGGGGTGGAGAGCCTCTCTCCACCTGGCCTTACTACTTCCTGTCTCCTCTCTCAACAGTCCTCCAAAACCTCTATGCTTAGCTAGTGGTTAGCTCTGCCCTCTTACTCCAAGCAAGCTTTATTTTTCAGAGCAATCAAAATATCACACAGCATCTCAGTAAGGCTGATCACAGCCTCAGCTAGAGGTAGGCTGTCAGCACCTTGAGGCTACCTCTGCCACTGCACTAATCATTTTTATTGTCATTGCTTGCCCACAGGCACATCACTGTAAGTTGTCTTCATCTTTGTGTCATACCTAGCACAGAGTTACTGTTTAATTAGCATGGTTGACTAGTTCTTGTCTTGTAAAGTACAGTATTCCTTATGTTATCTTCCTTTACCCCAAAAACCAATTTCATGAGTTATAATACTACCAGCAGATAATGGAATCTTGATTTATTCCTAATAATTGATGATTTAGATGCTATAGTTCCTGATACAGAAAATTGAAGCTTAGTGAGCCCAGTATTGTAAGCCTTGTAATTGTCTGAAAGCTGGTCCAGAAACCCAGAATGTCAAGAAATGTAGAATTAAACCTGTTGGCCAGGTTCTATGGGGGTAGAATAGAAGAGTAACAGGGCAAATGAAGGCAGCGTATAATAACACAACATGGAACATGGCAGCCAAATGATGTGAGGGGGAATAGGGCAGAGAAAAAGAGTGAGAAGACAACATTCAATATAGCATGGAAGGTGGCCAATCCCTGTGGGGTGGGACAGGCAACATGGCATGGGAAATGGTGGCTAAGCAGTGTCGGTGGCGTAAGGCAAGGACGGGGAATAAGAAGACACTTGACATGGCATGGGACATGGTGGGAAAATACCATGGGGTGGGTCAGAGAGGTGAAGAGAGACAAGAAGAGAACACTGGATTTCAAAGAAGCAAGTGATTAGGTTTAGCCAGGCTGCTTTGGTAGAGAGGCCTGGTGATCAGGTAGCCTGGGTTTTGTGTCTCAAGCTCTGTATAAAATCTTGAAAAGCCATAAAGACTGAGAGTTAATATGTAGTAAAAACCCAAGTCATGGGGGGGAAATGAGTAAAGGAGACTCTTGGGCACCCAAACATATAAAGGATGGGAGAAAGTGTCCAGGAAGAGTGTTGGGATAGAGAGGTAGACAATCTAACATGAAGAGCAGGTACTGTCCAGCCACTATGGAAGTTCCTGGAAAAATTAAAAATGTACTTGGGTGTATACTCCAAAGAATCTAAGTCAGCAAACCACAGAAGTTCCTACACATCCATGTTTATTATGATATTATTCACAATAGCCATGTTATGAAATCACACTAGGTACCCATTAAGAGATCAATGGATGAAAAATAAGTAATGTGTACACAATGGGATAGGGTCAGTCAGAAGGAAAAATGAAATAATACCAGGTACTGGGAAATGGATGGGACTGGAGATCATATTAAGCTAAATAAGTTAGACTAAGAGAGAAAAGTGTCACATGCTTTCCCTTATGTGTGAAAGAGAGATTTTTAAACACAGATATGAAAGCAATAATGGAAGAGGGAACCAGTTATTGGAAGGACAAGAATATGAGAAAAAAACATGGTATACATGTATAGGAGATACCAGAGTGAAACTCACCTTTTCAGTACACAGAACAATTACAGAAAAGGGGGACTACAAAATGTCACAGGCACATGAAGTAAATACAAACAGAAAAGCAGCCAGTGTTTTAGAGTCAAGTATGGAGTGCTGGTTGTAGGGGCATGAAAATGCAATTTCCACTAATTAAAGAAGAAAAAAGTCTTGGAAACAAATATAGTCTACTCCCTCAGTCCTGAAAGGATAAAAGCATTACAGTGGTTGGGGGTGGCACACCAAGTCAGGGAATGATCACTCTAGTTAAACCTGAAAATGCAGAAATCATTTACTGAGGAAACCTAGCTGGTAAAGTAGCCTTTCTCTTGGAAATGTGCCCTGCCTCTTCTCTTCACCTATTTTAAATTCCTTGCCCTGCAACCATCTTCAGCAGTATTTCCTCCTCCTGAAGATGCAGTGACCAAATGCCCCAGTTTTTCTGACCATATGAAACATGACCTATTCCCCTGACAGAATTTTGGCAATCTATTTCTAGACCCAAAACCACATTTTAGCAAGAGATGCAGGCTGACGCCTCTTCATCCCAGTCCTGTTGCTCAGCATTGCCTTGAGGTTCAGGGTAGACTAAACATAGAGGATGGAAGCCCTCTGGGGAACACTTGATGCCCAAAACCTTGGTGTTCATCTTCCTAGAAATCACCCTTATCTGCCAATGATGGGATCAACGTCTGTGTGAGGCCAGCTGAGCTTAGAACTACTAAGGAGCAATTTTTATTTCGTTTTAATTCATTTAAATTGAAACAGCCACATATGGCCAATTGCTGCCCCATTGTGCCATTGACCATCGAACCCCCAATCCACCCCCTCTTCCACCCTCCCACCTCTAATCTCATCCCAACCCTAGCGCCAGAGTGACATTCTGAGCCTTTCAGAATGGTAGGAGTCGGATCCCCAGGAGGAACAGGTTGCTGTCCCTGTGTACCGAGTGGATGGTAAGGGGTAGCACCCTCTCTCCAAGAGGTCACGTGCAGAACAATTAGAGAGAGCCGAGAGTGATCACGAAGATGTGATAGGTTCAAGGTGAGACCCAAAGCTATGAACATAAAACAAATGGAGGGCGGGAGGTGGAGGTTGAGAAATGAAGGGAACCAGGCAGCACAGTCGACTTCGCACTCACACCAAATCCCAGCAAGCTCCTCAAGTTCCCATCCCCTCCTTCCCCTCATTGCTGTCAAAGTAGTAGAAGGACCACCGAGCACCTCCTAGTGCACACTCCTCATTTGGTAGGCGAGTGAGCACGGTGCAGACGACTAGAGTCATGGTACAGACGACTAGATTGATCTTGTAGCAGAACCAGGAGACCAAGTCCTTCTCACTCTCAATCCCATGTCCCCTCTCCCCACCCCCTACCCAGCTCCCCTAGAGGAAGCCAGAGCGGCCTCGGAAGAACTGCAGATAGACAATAACCAGGCAGAGAGCACCCCAAAACAGACACCAGCGGAATGAGAAGAAGTTGTAGACAAAACTGCCCTGGGCTTTCCTCTTGGAGGCATCGGTATAGGCGGCATCCTCCTCCAGCAGCTTCTCGCTGGGCTTCCAGTGCACGATGCCTTCCTGGCAGGCCTCGCAGAACTCGCTGCGGTGCAGCCCGCTGTCCGGCCGGCTGGCCACGTGGATGCGGTACTGGCCACCATCTTCGTCATAGCACTGCTCGCGCAGGCTGGTGATGAGGTTGTCCACCAGGCCCTCGATGTTCTCCTCCAGCATGCTCGACTCGTCCAGGCGTGAGGTGCCGCATTGATAGCACAGCTGCTTGAACACGCGCATGCGCACCGAACCAACACGCTGGGCACGGTCGAGGTGCATGTGGAAGAGGATGACTACATTAGCCGACTGCCAGGTGTGCCAGCACCAGGAGCAGTGGAACCTGCCAGAAAAGGGAGGAGGAATAGAGCAGGTGAGACTCACGGACAGCCAGCCCTGGGGAGCACAGGAAAGAAATGGCTGGAATGTTAGAGGCTGAAAATGGAAGCCTGATGTTTTCCAAGTCTGTGGGTCCATTATCACTGGCGATCATCAGCTACCACCCTCTCCTGGTGGTCACCCTGGTGTAGTGATATATTGTTTGTAATTTAACAAGTAAACCTTGCCTGAAGATCAGAAAAGCAAAGCAGCCAAGCCACTAGGGAGTTCTTATCTCTACCAAGGCTAAAAGGGTGATACTGTCTCTACAAATCCTCAGCTCTGATCCTGTCTCTACAAATCCTCAGCTCTTAACCAAGAACTTGAGATGGCACTGAGTTCCTGCCTTGCATTCTCTCTAGTACTGGGATTAAAGGCATGAGCTCTGTTTCTCTTCTAGACTGATTCACTCTCGTGAAGCCCAGGGTGCCTTTGAACTCACAGAGATCCATCTGACTCTTGCACCCAAGTACTGGGATTAAAAGTGTGGCCACCACTGCCTGTCCTCTGTAGCTAACTAGTGGCTTAGCTCTGTATTCTGATTTCCAGGCAAGGCTTATTTGTTAGGTTACAAACAATATATCACTACACCCTGGAGACCAGAGTAGCATACTTAGGAGCCTAGCACAGGAGCCACTGGGCAGCCAGTGGTCATCTGGAAGCTGCCTTCTGTGTGCCCTCCTACAGCTTCTGCCCTACTCCCAGCTTACTGAAGAGTAGCATCTGGTCAACCTGCAAAGAAAGTATGGCTCCTCTTCTCTGCAACTCGTTTCTCATTTGCTGGTTGCAGTTTGATGGTGTCCACGCTGGACATTGTGCTCAGATATCTCTCTGAAAAGAGGGCAGCGATGGCTGAAACTTGCTTGCTCTGAGGAGATGGCATGCAAGTTCAGATCCTAGCACATTGTAGGACTGCAATACGATAGCCAGAAAAGCAGGGTAGATTGGCAGCCTGCAATAGACTGGAATCCAAAGAACACTACTTTCAGTTCTTACATCTTCACAGATGTCTTGAGTTATCCCTTGGTACTGCAGCAGGCCTGTGTGAGAACAGGAAAAGTAGACTTTGTTTCTTCACATACCTACCCCCAACCCAGCCTTCATACAGGCCACTTTGTCTAACCTAAACTTGTAGAGCCACAGCCTCAGAAAGTTGGAGGGTGTTGGCCTGGGGCTCACCTGCCAAGCCCTACTCCTTCTAGCCTCCCAATAGTATTAACATGTGATGGATCATTCCTTAACTCCACCGTGGCTCCTGGTCCCCTGAAATGGTATCTTGTAAGCCCCTGTTTCCAAAGGCTTCAGAGGCATTTGCATGTCCACTGGGCTGTTTCTGTCCTCATCACTGGCTCTGCCCAAGTCCATTGCTCAACCGCTTCAAAGGATCTGTGACGGAGGAATCAATTCAATTCAACCTGCACCTACTGTACTTTAAGCTCTACTCAGCCACTGTGAAATAGCACTGAAAACAAGCCAGCCTCTGACCCCTGGAAGCCACTGACAACATGAGCATAGAACAGCACCCATTGCCACCCTGAACATGGTCAAAAGGGAAGAGGAATCTGATTGGTCCTGAATTGGAAGGGTTTCACTCTTCTTCCTATCCCTGTATGGGGCCAGTACTGTTGGGCCCCAGATTTAACATCTCTGAAAGGTGAAAATCAAGGAGCCTGCACAGGATGGCTATGTTTCAGTTCTTCCTGAGGCCAGCTTGGACTAAGCCCTGAGGGGAGATCTGTGAGCCTTTGGCACTGTCCCGAAACTCCAGAAGCCCTGCATACCCGTTCACAACCTTCCTGAACAGTGTCCTCCAAGAGGTTCAAATGCTTTGTGTTTTCAGTCTCATATCTTTTTAAACAAGCTAGTCCAGGATTATTTCCTCTATCTCAAGCCAAATCCCACATCTCCAGAAGCATCCGATGTAGGTGAGCATTGAAGATAGATGAGACTAAGGCTTAGGAAATGAGAAAGCACACAGCTAATTAGAGAGAAGCACCCGTGTCTGTAACAGGCACCAACACAAAGCAATCAACCTCCGTTCTCTGACCTATGTCAGTCCAGATTCCATCTATTCGTTTCCAAGACCTGTGCTAAGGCTGCAGATGCCCAGTGCCCACCCAAAGCATGTGTCTTTCTGCTCCCACCTGCATGATATTTTCTACCGAAGAAATTTCACACCCACCCACTATGGACAGCTCAGTCTCTGCCGTGTTTTGTTCACACCTCCACAACACAGCCACCTGCTGGTCTCATGTGAATCCAAATGCCCAAAGAGGAGGGCTGGTTTGCTCCTGAAGGTGAGCTGGAGACCTTGTGAGCAAGAAACTGTAGCCCAAGTCCCAAATCGCCAGTCTGTAAGAGGGAAATGATGCCAGCTTTAAAAGGATGCCTGGTGGGAAGTGAGGAACACTTAGAAAGTGGGAGAGCTGGCTCTGTGGTCATAAGAGTGAGCCATCCCTGACCCCTACCAACTGCAACACTCTGGAGAGCAGGCCATGCACCTCGCACGACACAATAGAACCAGCCCTATTAGCACCGGTGGGGTGAGCCAGCCCAAAAATTGTGAGCATGGGAGAGCTGTCCTGTGGTGGCATGAATAGGGGAGAGTTGTCCCTCCCCACTGCACCCATCAATGCCTGGGGCAGGTGGGAAACCTGGTCCTGTGTTCCTAAGAGCAGAAGAGCCAGCCCTGTTAGGGCAGGTGCGGGTGAACCAGCCCCAGAGTAAACATAAGGAAGCTATCCCCATTTCGCATCCAGAGGGCCAACCCTACAGCCACCCAGGCCTACACCCAGGGTTATGACTTGGCCTGTACCAACATCCATTCCATCTGTGATCTGCTGGAATGCATAAAGGAACCTGACCCGCAGATCCTAAGCTTCAGGATCTCCACAACAGAGGGCAACAACAGGATACCCAGGAAGAGTCCCAGTGAGGGCCCAGCATCAATAGTGTAGTAGAAACCAGAGGCCTCGAACCAGACCAATGACTCTGCAATGGACACTTGCACATGAAGATATCTGGACAAAGGGCTTTACAGTGTTACTCACTGTATCACACTGCAGCTTCCATGATGAGATTTTTAATTTTTCCCTTTTGTCTTTTAAATTTTGTTTTATGTGGGGGCACAGCAGTGGAAGGCTAGATGCAAGGGGACAGGGATCAAGATAGATGATGTCAAAGACATAGAATAAAAATTTTAAAAATACATCATAAAATAACAAAAAGAAAGAGAGGGGGAGGGAGGCTGGGAGGGAGGGAGGAAAGAAGGAAGGAAGGAAGGAAGGAAGGAAGGAAGGAAGGAAGGAAGGAAAAGGAAGAGAAAGGAAAGTTTAGGGAAATCCTGCCTGGGATCAGCAGTCTATCACCCAGCCACAGATAGTGAAGTAGGAAGGGATTTGAGTGATGTGCTAAGATGAGCTAAGATGAACCCCTTGTTTTGTAAATGTGAATGAAGACTGGGAGCCAGAGAAAGAAGAGGACACACCCAACTCCACAGAGTACGGAACCAGGTTCTCAAGAATGCCATGTGCTCAATAACTTATTCTGTCTTCAAGTCTCATTGCTTTTGACTGAGCCGACAAACACCAGAGTCCCAGATCATAAGTCCCCCTACTCTGAGGTTGAGACCCCTGCCAATCCTCATGGCATCTCTACACCAGGGTACCGAAGCATTGCCACTCTTGGCTTTCTGTGGACAACTGAGACCCAAAAGCAGAGCACAGTTTGCTGGGAGTAATCCTAACAGCTGTGATTAGAAGCAAAGCCTCTGTGGCCCTCCCTTCTCTGCTTGTCACCTGAGCTGACAGGGAGGTGAGTCAGTCTGTGACCCCTCCCCCTGGGGGAACACTGCCAGCCGGACCCTCCCAGCAGCCTCTCACCTGCCTGAGGCGTGCTGCTCCAGATATTGCTTCCAGCCTGGGCCCAGTTCGTTGGGCTTGAGGTTGGGGTCTATGATGAGCTCCCAGCTGTCAGCTGGCTTTGCCACCTCCATCTTCTCATAGAAGACTTTCTTCCACTCACAAGTGGTCAGACTGGTGGACATGGTCCCCTTGGCCTGGATGGGAGTGTGAGCTCAGTCTGAGGAAGAACACAGAAAGCTTGAATAGATGCAGCCCGGGCAGTCTCTGTGGTCCAAAAAGGCTTACCCACAAGACCCAGCTCACTCTTTTGTCACCCTGGAAGCTGTTGCTATGACAGCTAGGCAGGTACCAGGAGCCAGAGCTAGGGAGGAAGAAAGTCCCAATGGGAGCTCCAGGGTCCTGAACTAGACCACAGAGTAATAAGACTGACCAGATGGGAAAAACCAGTAGGAGATGAGCCCGAGCCCAAACTGCCCAGCGCTGACAGAGGTCCCCAGAGGGCAAGGCTATGTAGGCGCCCTGTTCACACTTTCTCCTGCTGTGTGCCATGGCAACCGTAATGCCCCAGGGAGTCCAGGAGAAACAGGATGGAGATGAGGGACCTGATACTTCCACAGTCCTGATGCTCTGTGACCTCTATTCCTTGTGTGCCAGGCACAAGCTACTTGACCTGTGTATTAGCTGAGGGAGACCAGGAAACAGGCTTACATAATCTCCAAGAGCTCATCCACAATTCAGATCTGGGCCTTCCTAAACCATACCTATCCCTTTGATTATTGCAAGAGTATTAAGCTTCTAAGAGATTAAGAGAGGAGTAGTATGCAGCCCTTTGCTGGAGAATTCTCAATCCAGTAGGTGAGATAGAAGTAATGTAATACCCATGAAAAGCACAATGATGGCAATTCAGACTACACGGTTGCAACATTCACTTCCTGCTCCCAAGGGTCACCAAGAGGAGCTAGTTCCTTCTGAGCTGCAGCCTGCTACTGCCTCAGCTACTGCAGAGCAAGCCACAGAGCACCTCAGCTCCCCACACCCAAATTAAATTCTTCAGAGGCCAGAGGGACTTAACTTCACATTTGCATAATCCTTGAGGCAGTGACTCCCACCTCCAAAGGGGAGGCAATCTTGGATAGGATGAGCACCAGAAGGTGTGGAGTTATACCTGGGCTTTGTCCAGAATGCTGTAATGCCTGCAGCCCATTGGTTGTCAGTTCTTTAACCCAAAGCTCTCACTCCCTAGAACTGTAGAGAAGGTAAAAGTGGGTTGTTAGGGGCTGGGAGTTGTAGGTGCTGCAGGGCCCCAGCCTTGTCACTGGCCTCCATCTGGTTTCCATGTGGGGTGAGGTTAGGAGCAGTGCTACTGGGTGTCCTCACAGTAGAGAAGTGGTCTTCCAGTAGCTTTGTCTAACAGCCTCAGAAAGGATGAAGCTATGCTGTAAAGCCATGAAGAACGCCTGATTTCTGGTTTCTCTATTGGTCTCAACTCACATCATCACACCCCATTTTCCTTTTCCTTTTCTTTTGATTTATTTCTTTTTTGGAAAGGTCTCACTATGTAGCTTGGCTGGCCTGGGGCTCACTATGTGGACCACACTGGCCTGGAATTCATAGAGATCTACCTGCTTCTGCCTTCCAAGTTCTGGGATTAAAGGCATGGACCACCACGCCCAACCCAAATCTCTTCATAGTGAATCGGGACAGCTGAGCCCTAGAAATGGGTAACTGCTCCCAAAAGGAACCTTGGGCCAGGTGGCTCACTGGGACTGCCCTTAATCCGCTTCAAAACAGGTGACATGCAGAACCCTTGAATTCTCAGGAACTGAAGGAAGCTGAGAGATTTGGCCTGACCTAGAGCTATATACCATGGTCCAGCTCTGAGACACACTAAGCCATTGTCCTCAGACCAAGTGTCAGCGAAGGAAAATCAAAAAGGCAATGAGAATTGCCAGTGTTCATCTGTTTTCCTTTGTTTTGTTTTTCTCTCAGATGATGCAATCCCCTTAGGCATAGGATCACACTTGTTAGAATGAAATCCTCTAAGCAGAGACCAACGCCATTCATCTTTCTATACAACAGTGCTCTTTGCCCTGAAAAGTCTTTCTTGGGTTGCCATCAATGAGTGTAGCAATTACTATACAATGAGTGTAGCAATTACTATACAAGGAGGTAGCAATTACTACCTCAGTCTTCTCAGTGAGGTGCTGGCTGCACCATTAAAAAGCTCCCCATGTGGGCACATTGCTTACTGGCAAGTCACAGTTCAGAGCTGCCTTATCATCTTGGTGATATTCCTTAAAATGAACTAATTTCAGTCTTAGTAAAATAGCACTGTCCACCCCTATCCCACAAGCAAAATAGGTCACTCTTGTACTCTTTCATGGAATGTCAACTAATAAGTATTTTTGCAAAATGTCCATTATTTAGATTTTACTTGTTAGAATATCATATGTCACATCAGTGTGGGGCCTAACATGACGAAGCAATGAAGAGCTGGGGAAGTATGTAAATCAAAATCATCTGGGAACTGCCTCCTGGAGAGGTCAGCACATGCTCTTCAGGGATCAGACACCCTCCAGCAGCTCCGTGCTGGGCTGACTCACACCACAGCTGACCGTTATTACTGATGGGCATGTGCTAACACATGGGATATGAAAGTTCAAGTAAAATAACTTAGTGGTGTAGTGAGAAGCCATGAGAGTCTGTAAAGGGTCTCAAAAATGTATTTAGGTACAGGATAGGAACAAACACTCACTGATATAGAAATAATCAGACAGCACTGATGATCCAGCTGCCTCCATCAAGTTGTTCTGCCCAGGGGTGAAGAGCACCAACAAACAGCAAGCTGCCTGCTTCATTCCAACCACCCAAAGGAGCGCACACAAGAGAAAGAGAGAGAGAGAGAGAGAGAGAGAGAGAGAGAGAGAGAGAGAGAGAGAGCAATCCCCTCAGCTTTTAAGTTGTCATGTCCTGGGGATTGTTGCCCCAAAAGTCATTGGCTATATGGATTAAAATTCCACAAAACAATGGCTTATGACATTTCTAAACAAATCCAGCAAAACAAAAGCTGTGTTATGCCTTTTTGTGTCTAAGTTCAAAGGACTTTCGAAAGTCCTTGGTGGGCGCCTTTCGAGTTATTTCAGATGGCTTCTCCATCTATAGCACTCAGGCCTTTGAGGTCCACGATCCACTCTAGGTGGAAGTGACCTTTGAATCTTAGAGTAGTTCACCTGGTCACAACAGTTCATAGGCATTCACAGAGGTGAAGAAAGGATGCTGTCCACATTGTCCTCCCATCGGTGAGCAGCAGCCAGAGCAAACAGGAGCTGGCCGCATTCTATCACCACTGATATTCCAGGACTTAGCTCTTCCTGCCTTCTTCCAACCCTTGGGGGCTCATACCAAGCTGTGATTAGATAAGAATAAAGAATTACAATGTGTACTCACACACAAGGGTGACTAAGGATAATGATGCAATACTGGGTATTTCAAAAAGTTAGAAAAAAATTACTTTGAATATTCTCAGCATAAATAAGTAGTAAATTCTTGAGGAAATAGATATGTGATATGTTTGTCTTCGTTTTAACATTTCACAGTATATACATGGATCTAAATGTCACCTAATAGCCTCAAATAATTTTTAATTTTCACCTATTTATTTAAGTCAATTTAAACTTTAGAAAAAGCAGACTACCTGGTCTATGGATATGTCTCAGTAGTAGAATACTTGTCTGGATAAATAAGGCCAGAGCTTGAGCTCTCGAACCCTCACAGAAAAGAGAGTGGTCACGATCTATCTAGTTATGCTATAATAGTTTTCTAATGCTGCGATAAAACACTGTGACCAAGGCAAGTTATAAAAGGAAGGGTTTCTTTGGGTCTACAGTCCCAGACATGATGGCCATGTGGAGGTGTGGCACCAAGAGCAGGAAATTGAGAGTGAGAGCACATCTTTAATGGAGAGAACTAGAAATGTCACAAGACTTTAACTCCCAGAGCCCGCCCCAAGTAACACACTTCCTCCATTAAGGCCACACCTCCGAAGCCTCTCAGATGGAGTTATCAATTGGGGACCAAGTATTCACATGCCTGAGACTATGAGGATATCTCACTGAAAGCATCACATATACCTAGGCAGAGACGCAGTAAACGGATCATCACACTACTTATGGATGATAAGAAAACAAAAGATTGGGGAGGAAAAAAGGGAAGCTCTATGCAAGGGCAAGGAGCAGGAGTCAAGTGAGAAACAAGGGACACTTTGAACAGGTACAGCTGGTTCTAAGTTGAAGGACTCCATTAAGTTTTCTTGGCTATATGCAGATGCTGCTAGCTGAACTGGGTATTATACACACAAATAATTACAATTCCACTCTGGGACAATGCCCAGCATCATGGTGTAGGGAAAGGGGAACATAGGGTAGCTTGTGCTTGCTTTTCAAGCGTTCGTTCTAAAGTGACATCAGCCTGTGCTGATTTGGATGAGAAATGTCCCTCATAGAATCATGTATTTAAATCCTTGGTTTAAATACCATTGGGAGGTTATGGGAATGTGAAAGTGTGTAATCATGTGTTATGAGTAAGGTTTTTCCTGCCGGCCTGGTCCCACCGCCATGCCAGCCCCAATTAATACATTGACACTCTGTATTTGATACAATGCTGTTGGCCAGTTACTTGTTTCTTATTGGCTAGCTCTGTCTTAAGTATTAACCCATTTCTGGAGGGAGGGAGGGATGGAGGGAGAGGGAACTGGGATCGACATGTAAAATAATAAATTTAAAAAAAAAATGCTTTGACTCCAAAATTTAAGTTGAAGGACAAGTTACTGGGGAAAAGGATTTCTATTTTTGTTTCCACAGAAAATGAAAAGATGTGGATTCCTTCCAGACTAATGTGGTTTGATCACGCCAGACCACCTGAAACAGAGTACCAGGTGATCCTACATTCAAAACAGCTGGACAAAGCAGCCCTACAGACTACAGCCAGGATTTCTGCATCTTCTTAGAATCCCCCATGACAGCGCCCCTTACCAGCAGGAAGTAGTTTGGAAAGAACAACGCCCAAATTCCCAAATATTGTCTATAAATGTTTGTTTTCATTTAATTGGACTTTGTTATATAAAATAAAATAAAATAAATTAATAAAAAAAAGTATTAACCCATTTCTATTAATCTAAGTATTTCCACGTGGTCTCATCTTACCAGAAATGGGCCCGGACCGCTGTTCTCTGCAGTCTCCACACGCTGACTCCTCCCTATTACTTCCTCTCTCCTCCTCGTCTCCTAGTCCCACCTATCTTGCTTTCCTATTGGCCAACAGTGCTTTATTCATTAACAAGAATAAAAACCATATTTACAGAATGGCATCTCCCATCAACCATGGGAGGG